TTGTGCAAAAGAAGATACTTCGTATAAATTGCTTATTTCTTGACCAATTTCAATGGGGTTTTATTCTTGAAATCTTGGGGTTCTTGAATATGCTGAATCTAACCGTGTATTTAGTTTTTGGATTTTGGGCCCCGTTTTTAAATTGGTCAACATTGAGGTCCAAAGGGTCCAAAATTAAACTTTGTTTGATTTCATCAAAAATTGAATTATTGGGGTTCTTTGATATGCCGAATCTAACCGTGTATTTACATTCTTAATTTTTGGTTCCGTTTTCAAATTGGTCTACATTAAGGTCCAAAGGGTCCAAAATTAAACTTAGTTTGATTTTAACAAAAATTGAATTCTTAGGGTTCTTTGATATGCTGAATCTAAACATGTATTTAGATTTTTGATTATGGGCCCAGTTTTCAAGTTGGTCCAAATCGGGGTCCAAAATTAAACTTTGTTTGATTTCAACAAAAATTGAATATATGGGGTTCTTTGATATGCTGAATCTAACCATGTATTTAGATTTTTGATTTTTGGGCCCCGTTATCAACTTTGTCCACATTGAGGTCAAAAGGGTCCAAAATTAAACTTTGTTTGATTTCATCAAAAATTGAATTCTTGGGGTTCTTTGATATGCTGAATCTAACCATGTATTTAGATTTTGGATATTGGACCATAATAGGTGAATGTCCAATTTAAAATTTTTAAGTTCTTAGACCACATTCATTCTGTGTCAGAAACCTATGCTGTGTCAAATATTTAATCACAATCCAAATTCAGGGCTGTATCAAGCTTGAATGTTGTGTCCATACTTGCCCCAACTGTTCAGGGTTCGACCTCTGCGGTCGTATCAAGCTGCGCCCTGCGGAGCATTTTATTAATGATTTATTTTTTATTTCTTTTCATGTCTATGGTGTTAGTTCTTGTTTCGGCGAGTTAAAATAAATCCGTTAACGTCATATGTTTTGGTCATTTGTTTCAGCACTTCACTCACTACAGATATTTTTCAATATTTCAATGGGTTCCCACTTACAAATGTATGGACATACACACAATCACACTCACCCTCCTGTTTGGATTCAATAAGCTTTGCCCACTTACCTTAATGACATCAATAGCAAACCATTTCTAGAATAAACATTTCACAGTGGGAAGAAAGATTCGAAAACGGCTCCAAGGAATATCACCTCAGATGGATAAAACAAGTAGAACGAAGAAAAGTGTAATGTAAGGATAAGATAAACGACTGGAGAGAGATGTAGTTTCTGTCTCAAATTTAGATTCAGAGTTAAACTTTAAATTTAAAGTTTTATTAAAATCATCAAAAATTTTCAGTACTTTTTCATTTTTTGTCTTTTGTTTTATACTCTGTAGAAATTATCTAATATACAAAATATACAAATATTCTTTCCATTTGATTTTAAGCTGGTGAGATCAATAAAATGGAAAATGGAAATGGGGAATATGTCAAAGAGACAACAACCCGACCAAAGAGCAGACAACAGCCGAAGGCCACCAATGGGTCTTCAATGCAGCGAGAAAATCCCGCACCCGAAGGTGGTCCTCAGCTGGCCCCTAACTAAAATTGTGTGCTAGTTCAGTGAAAATGGACGTCACACTAAATTCTAAAACATATAAATGAACTAAAATTAAAAAAAACATACTAGACAGATGGTGACAAACGCATGTGTTTTGGACCAAAATCGATTGCACAGCTGACCAAATTCTTCTTTGTTGATAACACTACAGTGGTCTCGATAAATAGGATGTTGGTGTTTTGTTCGAAGAGACAAATAAAAGTGGTGTTTTGTTGGAAGAGTCAAATCAAGTTTGGAGCCTGTTGTTCAGCGGTTGTCGTTTAATGGTGTGGTTCATAGGTGTTTCTCGTTTCTCATTTTTTACATCGATTAGACCGTTGGTTTTCGTGTTTGAATTGTTTTACAATAGTCATTTTGGGGCACTTTATAGCTTGCTGTTCGGTGTGAACTAAGGGTCCGTGTTAAAGGCCGTACTACGACCTATAATTGTTAACTTTTTATACATTGTGACTTGGATGGAGAGTTGTCTCATTGGCACTCATACCACCTCTTCATATTTATATAAGGGTTTTGTTGGAAGAGACAAATAAATTTGGTGTTTTCCAAATGGTCTGTCGGTGTATTTTTGAAACAATTTTGTGAGAGATGTACCGAGTCGCCATTGTTGTGCCGTCCACAAACATAGTTATTTTCACACTTGTTTTGTTTTCCCAACAATAAATTATCGAACACAAATTTTCCGACACATATCAAGTTCGCGTGGATCAGATACATCTTTGTCTTGTTACAAAAAGTTGGAATCAATGTCATTGGGCGGTGTCGGAGGTGGTAAAGGTATACTGCTCACCAAATCTGGTAGCAAAAAGGGAACTTATTTTTGATAGAGATTAGATTATATATGTCTTCTTTGTAAAACAGTTCGTCCAAACGAATCATCAAGAGTTGGTGTAATGTAGATAGGCGTTATGCATTGATCAAAAATAATTATTCTATATAACCTAATCATTTTTATTCCAAGTGGTAAATATATATGGTTTATGATTTCAATAATGGAGCACATAATTGGTGCGGTTATTTTATGTTGGTATTAGTTTGCCAATCTTTTAAATTTCAAATCTTCTGGTGCTAGTTGATAGTCATTATGGGTATCATGAAGTTTTTTGGATAATCAAAATCGCATTTGATCATATATCTATAATCATTATCATCTGGTTTGTTTAAAATCTGTTCAATTTACCATGGATCTATCCAAATCAAAACCTTTAGGTAAATGTTGTGTCATAGCCGATCCATATAAACTGTAATAAGCATCTATATGAGATAAGAATTTAGTTGTTCGTGTTTTACCATAGTCCACCATATATGAATAATAAGCTTTACTATGTCTATGAGTCATCATGGCAACTCCTGCTCTAGTTGAGTTTTCAAATGTAAGCAGCATATCTATTTCAGACAAATTCAGATTTCAAAACTAAATTGAATCATCAAAATTGTTTCGTAGTTTTCAATTAACCTCTTGTTCCACTTTTTTATAGTATACTTTTCCACTTGTTTTGCCCGTTTTATTTTAGTACTAACACCATTTTTGTTAATGATGTACCTTATCTTAAATAATGATGTCATGTTTTACTTACAAGAATTACTTTAAAAAAAATAAAATAAAAAAAGATTTCTGAGTATTCGCAAATCACTTCACATATTGCTCCTCCTTAATATGTTCCTTTAATTTATAATACAATTGATTTGATTAAAAATTGTCTCCTTTCTTTCCAAAACGAAATTTTTTTCTCGTTACAATGTTTTGTATATGAATTAGGCCGTTGGTTTTCTCGTTTGAATTATTCAACACTGGTCATTTTGGGGCAGTTAATAGCTAGCTAGAAGTTCCTTCAGACACTTGTCAAAAACAAGAAGATCAAAGAAGCCAGATCATTTAATTTCACATTCTGATATATTTGATGATGTTCTTTCCATTTACAATCCAAATTTTCTGATTGGGTTCCATTAATATATCCTCCAGAACTAGGAATAGACGAAACAACAGTCACGGCTTCCTCCGCCTCATTTTTAGACTTTTACCTCGAATTCGGTCAACTCAGTACCACAATCTATGACAAACGAGACGATTTTGATTTTGAAATTATAAATTCACCCAACTTTAGCAGCAGTATACCAACTTCACCTGGATATGGGATATACATTTCCAACCTCATTCGGCATTAAAGAGTTTGCAGCTGCTACTCAGACTTAATAAAACGTCACCAGTGTTTGGAAGCTGATAAACCAGGGTTATGTCAAAGAACGTCTAGTCATTTTTCTAAAAAAATACATCGACAGATACCGTGCAAGACCTTGCTTATACATATTACGTATCAACTTAAAATAATACATGATGGTCTTGAAGTATAGATTCTAGGTACTGACGTTGTTTGTCATCTTAATTACGTGTTATAGTGTTCTTTTTATTTGACTTTGTATATTATTAACTTTTACTGTTTAGTCCATTTTTGGTAATCTCCTTTTAGCGTGGCTTGGTATTTATACATCCCGCCATTGTGTCATTGTGATATGGTCATTGTGTTTTATTCTTGTCTTTCATTTTTGCTTAATAATATGTGTTTTGTCAATACAGTGTCTATATGCCATTATTTTCTTTGTTGACATAGTTGTTTGGTTTTTTTAGTGATTAAGATTATAACACATGAATTTAATTTTGGATGTAACACGTCTTCTGATTGGCTGAAAGTGTTTTGTCTATCAGCTCATAGACATAATTTTGTCATGTGGCAGTGACGTCATCATCGTGAAGTTTTTTTTCATAATTTACTCCTTAAAAAATGCAATTTAGAATTAATTTATAAGCAAGGACTGTAATGTTTTTCCTGTCTATTCGAAATAACCTCAAAAATGTGGTGCACACTTTTAAATAACCCGCAACGCGAGTTATTCAGTGTGCACAACATTTTTGGTGTTATTGCTATATAAACAGAAAATATATTACAATCATTCCTTAAATGTTGACTGCTGTACCCCAATTTTTAACATTTTATCTAAAATGTATGTTTGTTTTGCTCACGTATTGTTGGCGACTGTCATACAGGTGAGAGGTTCAGCTAGCTATTAAACTATGTTTAATCCAACATTTCCTACATCAGGAAATGCCTGTACCAAGTCAGGAATGTGACAGTTGTTTTCCATTCGTTTGATATGTTACAGCTTTTGAGTTTGTCATTTGATAAAGGACTTTCCGTTTTGAATTTTCCTTGGAGTTTGGTATTTTTGTTATCTTACTTTTTCGATAGTTGCTTACATCGACGACTTGAAGTCTTGGATTGAGAGTTGTCTCATTAGCAATCATTACACATCTTTCTATTTTTTTGTTGCCTTTATTGTTAAAATTTGCTTAATAATTAGTGTAGATTATAGAAATTTATTAGAATTTGTATACATTTACTGTTAAAAATTTATTTTCAGATGGCTCCATCAAAGCGGTTTTGGTGTTGTATCATCATATGTATAGTGCTTCATTTAGCTCTTGTGGACTGTAAGAAAATTGATGATTTTAAAAGCACAGTCCTTAAAAGGTGTAAAAGAGACACCAATTTGAACAAAAATGGACGAAAAATAGCGGATTTTACATCATCGGTGGCACTTACAGGAATAGGTATAGCGCTGTCCATTTCAAATCCCTTGTTTAAGGTAGTTTCACTATTTGTTGTCGGAACTCTCTTAGACTTAATTTGGCCTACATCAGGTTCCTATCAATCAATTAGAGCAGACGTTATTGCGGATATTAGAAATGAGATGAATAAGCAGGCAACTGCTGAAATGAAAATGAAACTAAGAGACTACGGTGAACAAATTAAAAATGCATTTAGCGTTTTACAAGTGCAAGGTTACAAGATAGAGCAGTGGAACGATTCTGTCTTAAAAAATGGAATAAGCTTGCAAAAACAATCTTCGTTATTACAGGAATATAAAAGCCGTGTAAATTCAACAACTTGGGAATTTTTCAAAATAAAAATAGTTTCTTTAGCTACAGATATTGGTAATGACGGGCACCAGTTCCATATTCAAAATGATCCGACATCGAGCCTAGAATATTATAGAGAGTTTGTCACCACACAAATTGGTTTATGGGTGGCAGAACTAATGATATATGCTGGGAATGATGCAGAAATACATTTAAAAAATTTACTTCAGAATAAAATAAAAACTGCTCTCAAGAATCACTATAAATATGTCATGTGGGCTATTCACAAATCTGCTACTATCATTGAATCAAAACACAAGAGTAGATTGAAATACAAAGAAGTTGTAAATTCATGGAATGAACAATTCCCTTTAGATGCATGGAAACAACTGTCAGGTTATTCTGGACATAGTAGGTTTATCCGAAGCTCAGATACAGTGTCATTCAAATATCTTGATCTTGGAACAGGATATTCCAAGACACGGTTTTGGAGTTCTTGGATGAGTTGTTGGGGGTCGGGAACTAAATGCGCCATAAGAAATTGTCCTGAAATTGATAATCCTTTTGTGGCTGGAGAACAATACCAGTATAAATATCATTGTCGAGGTGAAGTTTTCTGGATCTACGGAGAAATATATGATTACATCCAGGCTTGCGATAAAGTTGCCATACATTATAGTTCTTGGGGCGATAAGCATTATTGGTTTAGTTTAGACTCGTATAGACGACATAGGACAAGGCGTTGGTTCTTCAACACACGTCAATGTCCGGGGAAATCCTTCATGTATGAACCATTTAATGGCAGATGTCTAAACGAAATTTTAACGATCGAAGTTGAGGGAAAGACGTGTGGTGAGCTGGTTGAGGACAGGGACGTCATCATGCTAAAGGGCAGATATGATAAATACGTGACTAGTGCGGTCTGGTATGAATTAATACCCGGAATGACGAAATGGTGGAGAATATTTAAGCACGACTCCTTTCTGAAAAGTTTTGATAATAGCTTTATGTAATAGTTCTTCATTATTAAAAGTTCAAATAATAACTTTTTGTAAAAAAGTAGTTTACTTCACGTGAATTTATATCTAAAGGAGATAATAAGATAACATAACAAAAAATAATAGACAGAGCTGTCATGGATAGTTTTGTGTATAATGCATTGATCGATCATTCTTTTTGTCCCCCGCGCAACGCGTTGCGGAGGACATAGAAATACCAGGCGTCCGCCGATTCGTCTGTGCGTTCGTCCGTCCGGTCTTGTTAACGCTCTCACATGTATAATTCTTGGCTGATTTTTATAAAACTTATATCATAGGTTTATATCAGCAATGTCTCGGACTAGTTCGAAAATCAGTGCCAATGAACTATTTTTAAAAGAGTTATGCTCCTTGGAAACATTAATTATATGGAAAATTGCATCGTTAGCGCTCCATCATATACGATACTTGCCAGATTTTTATTTAATTTATATTGTAGGTTTATATCAGGGATGTCTTGGAGGAGTTCAAAAATCTGTGCCGATCAATTATTTTAAAAAAATTTATGCCCCTTGGAAATATTTATTATCTGGAAAATTGCATCTTTCGCGCTCTCGTGTGTACAGTTCTTGCCAGATATTTATGAAATTTATATTATAAGTTTACATCATCAATGTCTCGGATGAGTTCGAAAATCTGGGCTGATCTAATAATTATCTTAGAAAAGAGTTATACCCTTTGGAAATATTAATTATATGGAAAATTGCATCGTTAGCGCTCTCATGTGTACAATTCTTGCCAGAATTTTATGAAACTTATATCATATGTTTATATTGGCAATGTTTTTGACACTTTCGAAAATAAGTGCTAATCTAATAAATTTAATAAGTTATGCCCCTTGGAAATATTAATTATATCAGAAATGACATTGAATTTGATCTAAACATATCATTTATCTAAGTTATTTATGCCCTTGTACCTTGGATAGATAAATTATGTGCAACGCGGGGGACAATGGAACTCTGTTCTGTGATTGCATTTAAAATCAAAAGATCATTTTCACGTATTTGGGCAAATTTCAACATCCTTGATTAGTTATAGACATATCGGGCGTGTTTTAATTGGATGGAACTCTAATATTTACACTTAGTAATATAATTTGCCTGTCTATTTTGTTTGTTTGAATGTATATTGTTTAACGTTTTATCTATACTTTTTCAGATATTATCGACGATAACATGTTGTCAATCAAGTTTAAACAGATTTTATAACACAGCTACAAATCCTAATTTACAAAATAATACAACAAAAAATAAACAATATAACTTAATATGCTGCAGGGATGGGGTAATGTAATGGTAAGTAAGGCATTACAATTTTCATTGTAATTGAATGTTATGTGTATTTGAGCATTTTTGAAATTATATGTAATGGTAATTTAATTAATTACACTGAAAAAAAGCATGTTATGCTAAATTACTTTTCAATTCCATTTCAATTACATGTACTTTTATGGTGTTAATGATAAGAAATTATGTTAATATTACTATTTCAGATACATATTTTTTTTAATACACAAATCTGTAATTCTTAAGTTTTATATTGTTTATTTAACATGCAGAAATGTTTGCTTAATAGTCGCGAAATTTGTCCTGAAAAACGTTTCAATTTCAACATTGCACTCTCGGCCATTTTTCAGAGTTAGAAAATTCACATGATTGATGATTTACGAATTTGGTGATGTCTTAGGGTTTGATAAGTGTCGACAGAGACATATAAGACAAGAGATTCGCAACTCTAGTAGAGTCTATATAACAGCCAATGAAATGACGTGGCCACCGGAAAGCCGATTATTCCGATGGATTTATGGGTATTGTGAAAAAGGTTCTACGCCTCACGATTTTTCTAATGGATAATGCCGATACCTTTCACAGCTAAAGCATGCAAGTATATTTAAAAGTTGCAAAAAACTAATTCTAATAATTTGTTATTGATTAAATGTGTTCTAATGATGAGATTAATCAAAAACAAACAAAGTTAAAACTCGGCCCATTTTACTTCACCTCCTATTGCCGTAGAAACCATTTGATCTCCCAATTTTTTTCTTAAAACTTGGAAATATGCTAATAAATATATAATTTTATGGGGCAATAATACTCCCAAATGTTGTTTCGTGAAAATAAAACTATTTTCGTAAAATTTGATCCAATAGTGGTTTTTTTTCAAAATTATCAACAAATGTGGCGATTTTTTCTTATTGATACCCGAAACCAGCTGTACTGGTACTATCATTTTATTTCGTAAAACTTGGAAATGTGCGAATAAATATTCAATTGTATGGGGCTATATTACTCTCAGATGTTATGTCGTGAAAATAAGACCAGTTTCGTAAAATTTGATCCAACAGTTATTTCTAAAAATATCAACAAAGGTGACTATTATTTTGTTATTTATACACAAAGCCAGCTATGCTAATTTTATCAATCTGTTTCGTCAAAACTAGAAATTTACAAATAAATGTCATATTATGGGGATATATATTACTCCCAATTTTTTTTTCTTTTCTTTTCTTTTCCTTTCTTTTTTTTTTTTTTTTTTTTTATTAAACTGGCTAAATATTGAAATTGTTCATGGACAAATTTCCTTAAATCAGTCCTTCATTTTTGTGCACTATTAAATTTATAGCCTGCATTTTGTTAGGCAATTTATTCATTTTTCATTCTGTTTATAGCAAAGTTGTTTATTTTCTCCTATTCTGAAGTCATTGTATTTTTCTTCTTTTTAGGGTGCCAAAGATGAACGAATGCAGTAAATTTACAAAAGGAGTAAAATTTTCCTAGTAAAGGAAACCTTCTGCTGGTCGTAATATTATGAATGAGCTTCATGCATCTGTTGTCGTTTCAGACTACGCTTCTCATTCAAAACATGAACCTAATTCGTTTTTAAATTAAAATCGTATTGAGGACATTTCAATGGTGACTGCAAAAGATATATATATATATATATATATTTGATAATAAAAGATTTAATTTACACCAATGATTTGTATATGTATACACATAAACAATCTTACTTTTAACTGCCATCTCTCTACCCCAGAATAGAAAGACAAAAAACACTACAAATGATTAAAAGACAGAAACCACTACAAATGATTGTCTCGTGGAAATAAGGTTATAAAATACTTTTTAAATAGTGTCTTCCATGTTGCTTTGATGTATGACCTTGGCTCCCACTTCAATGTTGTGTTTTTTTATAGATTTTTTGTTGCTTCGAGGACACACATATCAATCTATGTATGCAGTATTGTCAATTGTTTTTGTTGGTGGGTCTCTCGCTTATGTCTTCATCATTTTCACTTTCACTATCAACAAAGAGTTCGTTATCAGTTTATTCAACTAGAGGTATATCTAAGTCGTAACTATTAAGATTGTCATCCCACGAAATAAAATCGGAATTTTCCATATTGCGTGCACATGAATGAAGCTTTATTCAAATGTGAAATTAATTGTAATTTTCTTAAATATCAATTCTCAATGCACACTTCGAACAAGAAACCATAAATTTACCTACAATCAGTTAAAGCCTATGATGAAACTGTCAAACAACACTTAGAAATCAAACATTTACCGACATTCCTACAGAAAAAACTCAATGCAAGCCCAATTAATGATGAATATAAAAATAAATAAAATTTTAATAATTTATAAATTTCAAGAATAAAAAACAAAGCCTATCATGATTAACAATTAATTAACAAATAAATTAAGTTTTTGTCCACATTAATTAATTTTACATATTGTGAATTGTATTTTTGAAAAGAGTGTGGGCACCTGTGGTGTAACAACTTCTTGTTTACAAGGTGTCAATTAAAACTCATTATTTATAACATGCTCGTGATTTACCTGGTCATCGAATAATTCAAACCTAATATACATGTCACACTGTGAAATTATGTCTCCGAGACAGGTGTATATTCAATAGAAACCCATTATGAAACTATCAAATAAAATGAACTCTGATACAATTTATCAAGTGTTAATTATTTAATATCAGTTGTTTTTTAATACAATATCAAATTATGTCCCTTTTTCAATAATACAAATCTAAAATCAAAATTACATTAAAATAAATAATTATATATGAACTCAAATTATGAACACTGAAACAGTTTATGTTATGCTTAAACATTCGTCCTTACTTCGAGTACTTTTAATACTTGTATTAATGACTTTATTACATAAGGAGATCTCGCGAGGTTTAACTAGTGGCCGCGTGTTTTTACGGGATTTCGCCGAGTTGCGAATCTCTTGTATTATATGTCTATGGTGTCGATTACCAATCCGCTATTGTGTGATGCCTTATCATTTGATATCGATTACTAGTATCAGCGTATTTTATAGGAGTAACACGACGGCTTTCACATGTGGAAAAGGATCTGCAAACCATTCCGGATCATCTAAGATCCCCCCGGATGTTTTTGGGGTTCTCGTTGCCAATTTTGCTGTGTAATAATACGTGTACCGTGCCTCTTTCATTTTTTAAGAAAAATTTGGATTAACAATTTATTTCATTATGAAAAAGTAAATATATTGATATATAATTTTGACTTTTTACAAATGTTTTGATTATAGGTTATTCTTTAGTACAATCAAGGTTTCTCCTAAAACAAATATTAATATCCTTATTTTATTTGTAGATATTGAATTCTGATGTGTACCGGATTTTAATAAGTATAAATCAGAATTCTAATTTCTCACGATAGATATAGGTGCTCCAGTTTTTACTAGGAGGATTCGATGATTGTATTTGATATATGAATATATTTTCGCTTGTATAGTTTTGTTACATTTTATGTGGACACGTATTCACATGCCTTAAGAATTGAAAGTTGCTTGTTCTACGAAGTTCGAGATCAGGAGTAATACTCAACATTATCATATATATGTATATGAGCATTATAACATTATGCAAGTGAATACAGTGGATTTTGTATAATTCTATTTGGAAAAGGATCAACACTAGAAAGGACTATTTGTTTTTCGAATATTTTTGTTTTGCAGTCTTTAAATTGTTTTCATTAGCGAAAACAAATCTGTTTATACAAGCACCTGTTGACATAGAAATAACTTAGTAGACCAGGTCTCATACCTAGGGACCCCTGTTTTGGTCTACAATTGATCAGGGAAAAATTAAATGAGCTTTAACCCCAAGAGTTTTACCCGTTTAAACAGCCAAAGTAATTGGTATTACAAAATACGCTTCATATCATACATTAGACATAATAATCGTATTTCCGTTTCACTGACAACCATGTGTTCAAATTATTAATGTGATTGTTACAGATTCCGTACAGACTGGTTTTTTAACATCCTCAAAGATCACAAAAACACAAATAATTTTGTAGACACACATTTTACCGTAAGTCTATTTTTCAAAACACTATAACTGTCCATCGGTAATTCAATTTCACTATCAATAATAAATCATATCATGTGACTATTTCATACTGCTGGTCATCGGTGGTTGGTATGTTCAGAGTGCTATAGTTTGATATATTTCTGGATTCAGCAAGATTGTCGTACTGCATGTTTATGTTATCTGTTGGTACTGGTTCCATTGTCTTGGATGATTTTCTGAAATCAAAATAATATCAAGAAAACAATATTTTATGGAGTTTTTTCTTTTTTGTTTGAGTTTTCATTAACATCACTTCGATCATTTAGAGTTTGAAATGAAAGTATATCAAGTTAAAAGTAAAATCACAAAATTACTGAACTCCGAGGAAAATTCAAAACGGAAAGTCCCTAATCAAATGCCAAAATCAAATGATAAAACACATCAAACGAATGGACAATAACTGTCATATACCTGACTTGGTACAGGCATTTTCAAATGTAGAAAATGGTGGATTGAACCTGGTTTTAAAGCGCTAAACCTCTCACTTGTATGACAGTCGTCAAATTCCATTATATTTACAACGATGCGTGAACAAAACAGACATTATAGGTAACATTGTCAAAATATAGGTACAGCAGTCATCACTGTGTCACAATCTCAAAACAAACAAACATTTAACAAAGAAGCACAGAAAGCATCTATCAAATTTAACAACCACATTCATTGCTAGTAAAAGATTGTGAAAAATAACATCTTTGTATTGCATATGTATGGCCTTTAACAATGGGCAAACCACATATTGTAAATTAAGTTATGAAAAATCCCAACATGACAAAAATGTGACAGTCACGTCATTTTGGGTTCTGGATTAGAACAGGCATTTAAAGTATGTAGCGAGACTAAACATAATTGTTACTCTATTGTTCGTAAGTGGTTTAACGAACAACAAATGACGAAACTGTAAAAACAAAATTGGAAATCTATTCTCATTTTCTTTGTGGTATTTTTTAGCGATTCATATTTCTTTACAAACAGATATAGCGTATTTTGCTCGACCGATGCTTGGGCAAATTAAAACTTGCAGTGAGGCGAAGCGTTTGTTCTATAAAAAGTACAACAAAAATACCGAACTCCAAAGCCAATTCAAAAAGGGGAAGTCCATAAAAACTGACAAAATCAAACGCTATCAATCAACGGAACAAGTGAAAACAAATGCCATATTCCTGACTTGGTACAAACATTAGATTGACAAAAATTGACAAAAATTCGATGAGCAACCTCTATATTGAAGGTCTAAATGTGACTTCATTTGTTAAATAGGTTATAGAAATTTTTTTAATAAACTTTGTTTTCAACCTTTGACTGGTCTATATATACGTGTACTATCGATTGTATTATTACATATATCAAAGAAAGCTTGCACTAAATAACTTTTTTTTCGGTATCATAATTACGTTTGAATTTAAAAAATGATTTATTCCAAAAAAAACATTAAAGTCTTTTTATGGATACAAAGAATGGTTAATGTAGATTAAGTGATTTAAGAGACATCTTATACCTAAATATGTGATCAGTATCATTATAGCACTGGTCATCAATACGTTCATTTAGGCTTTTACAATTTAAACTTTTAAGGTGAAGAAATTGAAAATAGAAAGATACAGTCCTTAAATAAGTTGGAAATATTACCTTATGCAGAAAATAATTACTATAGACACCGTTGCTATTGTAAACCCAACAACGCATGACCCCACTGCTATGTATATCGTCGAATCATCTGGAAGATAAAAGAAAATGAAACTTTTTTGTGCAGTACATAAACATATGTTATAATTTAATATTCAAACTTTATTCAATATTTAATATGAACCCTATGCGACTAAAAATTGCAATTACTAACACGTGTTGAAGGATATGAATATTGACGACTCCTGACTGCACCGGTCGTACTTTGTTAATTCTGCATTCATATATAATCTAGCTGGCCACGTTATCACTGGTGACCAAAACATTTTCCACAGCACTTCTCTGCGAAATGTGTTAACGAAAAGCCTTCTAGAAAGATCGTGTGCTTACATAAATTAATTGTATTCGCAAACTTTAAAGAACTGGTAGGTTCAGTCGGGGATTATGCTATGCAATGAGCTTAATGCGAAAAAGAAGACGTAGATTCTGAATGAGTTAGGGCTGTTAGGTCGTGGATAAAAATTACAATTGAAAAACTGAATGGGTGTATTAATACACGTGCTATATCGATGTTTCCGTTCCTAATGTTGCTAATGACCAGTCCTACCTCTATGACAAATGTGTTGTTGTCCCTGCAGATAGAGTACTAACCAACATCGTTTATGTGTGTAATTGACTAAACATAAACTTTTTCAAATAGGTATTGACAACTCATTTGGCTTGGAAAGTCAATATACTCCTCCACTACACTTACCAAAGAGGAAATCCTGATTATCCATATGTTTTTCTATGTTCCTTTAGTATTTTTTTTCTCTTTAATGGAGACCTAAATTACATAAGTCTCCTTTCAAACAACTTTATTTTGCGGGTAATTCCAAGTTCTCCACGAAACATATTGCTTTGTTATTAACATTATTATTATCAAAGCCGAGCGTCAGTGTTATTGTGAAACTACTAGCTCTAGGGGCGGTGTGAATAAGAGTAGATACAACTTAAGTTTGTTTGCTCTTATAGTAGAATAAAAACATTTGACTTTCATAACCATTACCCTAGTATTCTCCATTCCAAAATAAAGACAAATTAAAAGAATTAGTCTTTTTTTGCTTCATTAAAAAGAATGGCCAATATAGATACAAATTTCTTGTTTTAGGAAAGGACAAAACATTGTTTGTAAACAAAACTCTGATTCAGACAAAAAAAAACTCTTAAACTAAAATTTTAAGGTTCGATTTCTTGTTTGGCATCATATGTTTTACCCTTGAAGAACGTGTTTTTAATCAAACTATCGGCATTTCAATCGAGCAAGCTGTGATCCATTTTTGGATAACGGAATTTGGTGAGACTGTCGTACAAGTGAGAGGTTTAGCGCTATAACACCAGGTTCAATCCACCATTTTCTACATTTGAAAATGTCTGTACCAAGTCAGGAATATAACAGTTGTTGTCCATTCGTTTGATGTGTTTTGTCATTTGATTTTGCCATGTGATTAGGGACTTTCCGATTGAATTTTCCTCGGAGTTCAGTATTTTTGTGATTTTACTTTTTTCTTGCCAACCTGGTCCTTTATTTTAATGAGGCAGACTTCATATAGTAGCTTCTCAAATAATCTAGCATTATCCTTTGACTTCAAGTTCTGCTATATACATATATGTAGATGACATAATCTCACTAAATAATTCAAAGTTTGGTGATTATCTTGAACGCATTTATTCCATCGAACTTGAAATAATATCTACACAAGAAACAGTTAAGTATGCTTCATATCTTGACTTACATAAAGAAACTGACAATGGGGATTTGTTGAGAACAACACTTTACGAAAAAAAGAGATGAAGTTATCTTCAAAATTGTGAACTTCTATGAAGCAACATTCCAGCAGCATCTGCATATGGCGTATACATACCAGTTCATACGATATTCCAGAGGTTGCACTGCCTATCATGATTTCCTGGATGGATGGTTGCTGATAACACGGAAGCTATTAAACCAAGGGCTTCAAATGATAAAGTTGGAATCAATCATGATAATATTTACGGACGTCAACATGTGTTGGGTGTTCGTTATTGAATATCTGTTTTACAGATGAAAACGGATATTTTCCAATTGTCAACACAGTATTTGTGCCTGTTTGTTTTACATTATATTTAAATTCTGTTCCTAAATTAAGAAAAAAAACAATTTTTGTAGTTTACTCATATATAACTCTAGCGAATCCATTTAGAATCTGAATATAAAGAAAAGTTCATAGGGGATCGCATGAACTCCAGACGGAATGAGGCACAGCTGACATGTCCTGCTTTGCATCATACATAATTTGTCAAGACCCAGTAAAAAAATTAAGGTATGGAAGTATCCACAATTATATATATATATATATATATATATATACAGATCAGACGAGTATTAAGATCTAAGATGAGGAGAACATGTATGACGTTAGTTACGACACCGACAAATCGTACAGGTCAATTATTTTTTAATGTTGCACGTACATTTGTTAAGTGTAGATTACGAACACTACAGAAGTCGCTTTGCATAACAAAGAATCATTTACCTGTAAACAAACGAGTGTAATGATGTGAAAAGTATCAATTGATATGTAAACGATGGTAAGTCCCTCCTGAGAAGTTGGATTTTAACAAGAAAACTGCAATCGTCATGTTTGTCATATATCATATTTTGAATAATTCAATCAGTGTTATTTGTCGAAAAAATTGTCAAGCTATACAATGTATTTCCAGTTAACAATGCATACTTATTATTAAGTTACCGGAATTATTAGTATAGAATGTTGTCTGCATACTAATTTTTTTATTTTTTACCTCAGCCATCATTTTGTATTCTTCAAGTCAAGGTACAGAAAATGGGCAATGTCACAGATTTTGGAAAAATTTTGCAAACAACTATGTTTTTTAAACTTTTAAATTAAAATCAAACATATTTCGCATTCATCTCTTTTATTTGCTGAAATATTACTGAATTGGTACTTTCACAATGCGTGAACATTTGTATAGAAAGCACATGAAATCGGCGAAAAAGGACCTTGAATGGTTCTGAAACATTTTTTTTTTAACGTAACAATATCTTTATTGCATATTTCCTGTAACAATTTACTAAGTTTACAGCTTTTAACTAAGTATCCCTCATGTTAGTTTACCTAATAGTTAAGGGAAGCACTATTTGGTAAGATATAACTTCTTCATAATATTAGTATTTATTATATAATTCATTCTACAAATGTATTTGATAAATTATTGGGATAACACATACATATCTTTGTTTGGTTTTGCTTTGTTTTGTTTTTTTATATAACTTAGTTTTCCAGAATCAACTCCGTTATCGATATGATCCGTGTTCGTATTAGTTTGGGCACAGTTATGCTTCTGCAAACATGTGCGCTCTCGGATAGAGTTAAAATATGTGTCATCTAAATATTATTATTATCAACAGGATTTAAGTTATTTGATAACATTTGGTGAGTATACAAGTTTTTTTTTTGTTCTATGTCGAAGTGTATATGTAATGCACAAGTCATAACATAACACTCATCTCAGATTAGAAATTATTTTTCTGCAATAATGAATAATCATGCGGATATATGTTTTTTTTTTTTTTTTAACGTTTGTGAATACACATTTTAAAATCTAAAAATATAGTATGTTACATTTCGTGACTCATGCATGACTGAACATGCTCACAAACATATTTTGTACATGCATGGTTGAACCCTTTAATAAATATGACCATATTTGGCTTGTGTACAATTAACAATTTTACACACAATGTTCTGTACTTACTATAGAAGTATTGTTTCAAAACATTTAACATAGATTTAATCCTGATTCATTTGATTCTTTGCAATGAATCTGTTTGTTTTTAGAATAATCTGTCTATTATTTTTGTTAATAAAATTGTTTATTTCAAAGATTTCTGAAATTTTTACTGAAAATTTTTTAAAATGTTTATTTTCTTTTTGTCTTCTTTTCTGAGGCAAAATATGCTTTGTATATTGAGAAGGATATTATAGTTAATATGTAATTAATATCAAAGTATGCTGAATCTTCAATTTTGTACCCTGTTACTAAATTTTCAAGGCTTTGTCAATACCAAGGGATTTCATTAATTTCATTACTATATTTCGAAAGTCAGTATTAAATGAGCAATTGATGAAAAAGTGTTCATAGTCTTCTTTTTTTAAAAGCTTACATAAGTTGTCCTCAGTAATTTTCCACTTTTTTAAAAGTTCATTGCATGGCAGTATGTAGTGAATAAGTTTCCATCTGAATGTTTTCAATCTATTATCAGTGAGATATTGAAAAACAAAAACAAAAGTATTTTTGAACTTAGTATTTAAATTTTTCTCAAATAATTTTTCCCACATAAGAAAACCATTTGGTTTATCACAACTTTCTTTTAGTGTGAGGATTTTATAGAGTTCATTTGTGCTTGTTAATGGAGTAATTGTCTTGTACATAAGTTTTAAGTCATTTATGACTTTTAATTTAGTTTTAATAGAATCTTTAGTAAGAAGAATTATTTTCCAATTAATTGGTATTGCTTTTTTTAACATATATTTTTGCTTTATCCAGTTTTGTTTATATTTAAGTTTAGATAAGATGGTAGTTTCAGAGATTTCACCCTGTTCATCAATGATATCATTTATATTAATAATGTCACGTTTTATCCAATCTTCAAAGTTTAAGCATTTTCTGTTAAATCTGATATTATCGTTTCTCCATAGGATTTGTTTTCTAATTTCAAGAAAATGTTTGGGATACTTTGTATTACCTCCTTTTACACTTATCCAATCTTTAATTAGTTGTTTATAGAAGTCTGGTAAATATTGTTACTTATGTTTATCAATGTCGTTTATATTCTTTAAATTCATTTTAAATACAAACTACAAAGTTATATTTTAATAAACGGAAATATTAACATTAATAGTATATCATTATAAACAAAATTCCACGAACGAAATAATAGGTTTCATAACTAGTGAGAATTTGATATTGCTTGATATTAACTCGAGTTATTCAATTTTAATTTGATCATAAACGAGCCTTCGGCGAGTTTATAGTTACTATTTAAATTAAATAGAGAGAGTTGATATCAAGCGGTATCAAATTCTCACGAGTTGTTTAATCGCGAATCGTTGATCTAGTCTTTTGCACATACCAGCATAGCGTCATATGTCATTTTACTGCTTTTAACTTTAACATCAGGCATTTTAAAACTCTTTATACGCTTCATAATGTAATAATTACATGACATGTATGTTTCATTATAACACGTTATCCTGATTGGCTAATAGCAATCGCGCATCATTCTGAAATTAACCTTCATTCTAATATGACGTGCTTCTTTCGCTTTGTAAACAACACCATGATAAAATACTCGATATATCTATACTTAGCGCAGACTCAGAGATATACATAATAATGGATGTTACAAAATACCTCCTACGTAAATCCACATGTATCGGAACTTATTTGCAAACGCTATGCCGATTTTATTGTTTTAAAAATTACAATTGAAAAAAGACTACAGATCTTCTATTCTTATTCGGATGCATAACAAAAAAAAATAAATGCGCAATAGCTCGGAGAAATCTACAAAATCAAAATAAATTAAAATTCCGCGAAAGTCCGTTAATGCTTTTGGCTCATTTTAGTCATTTCAAAACATGACGTCATATAAATGAAAACGCTAAAGCTGAAGGTTTTTCCGTTACGTGAACCATGGAAGTTCGTATAATATTGCATTAAAATGAATTTTTGAGGTAGGGTTTGTTTTCTTTTCTATTCTATTGCATTATTCGCATATTTACTGATTTCAGCAAGTCAACATGGCGGCTCCTTAGTTACGAAATGTCAACTTTGGATTTGACGGTAGCTTACGAGAAAAACATGTAAATTACAAATGGCAAATGTTGGGTTTGAGAGTTAAAAGAATTATACACATTTTTTCTAGCAGTTATTTGCGAAATATTTGCTGCAAGCTACATATTTATTAGAAAGTTTAAACTTTATCTAACAGGGAGTAAAAAAGAATAGCGACACACACGGTATACCCACCCTCGCTTCAGTTTTTTAATGACCGTATTTGTCCTATTAGAATCGAAATAATTCATGGAAGCGATAGATTTGTTGTAAATTTACACATGGCCTGGGCCATGTGTAAATTTCCAACAAATCTATGGCTTCCATGAATTATTTCTTAATTTTAAAATGAAATGTAAAATTCATAATGACACGAGCTTCTACAATAAAGTGCACAGGTAAATAAAAGAAAAACTTGATAGAAATCGCGTTTTCATGATCCTAGCAAAAAAAGTGTCACTATAAATATTGAATGCTTCTTTTAGTAATTTTATAGGGTTGTAAAAGCGTTGACCATGCGCACATTTGTAGAATTAAGCTCCGCGCATCATACAAAATGTACTTCGGTCAACACTTTTACACCCGAATAAATTTACAAAAAGAAGCTTTCAATTCTAAAATAAAGTTTTTCAAAAAGAAGATTTCCAGGTGAAAAGTGTGAGTGTTTAGAAATCACGAATGTCCGTTGCCATGAACGAAATGTACATCGTCTTAACATTTGAAGGTTATCAATGACCTAAAGAATAGCCAATGGAAAAGTCGTAATATCGTCTCATGATGCTGGATAAGCCAATCCAATAAACGCAGTTTTCGTATCACTTTTTCGTTTCACACTCTGTGTAATTCAAGAAAATTGCTTCAAACGTACGAGATTTATATGAAGTATAATTTACTATCATTTATATGTACTAAGTCGATACTTCTGCTGGCGGAGTTTTAGTCTCCAAGATAATGTCGTAACTTACATCCCGTTCCCTACTCCTCGATCGTGATAACCAAAATAGTATTACAATTTGTACTTATCTTGAGTAATCTGATGGGTGTCACTAGTGGAGAAGGATCTGCTTACTTGAGATCACCTGCATTTATTGTAGGTGTTCGTGCTGCGCAGTCAGTAGTTTTTCGTGATTTTGGTTATAGCATTTCTTGTTTGTCATTGCGTTGTCAGTTTCCTCCCTATTTATGAGTTTTGTATTCACGGCCTATCTTTTTTTTTTTTTTTTGCTTTTTCTAAAGATTTTGTTTTTTGATTAATCAGAACTGGATTGATACCTTTGCTGGTTGATTGTTAGTCCTTAGAGGGTATTATCAGATCAGTAGTAATTACTTCAGTATTTATATGACAAAAACATATTTTTCAGGCAAAGTTGACTTTTAATGAATTAGGAGATAACTGTATTGTATTTTTAGCTTTGCCTTCGTAAAACGTAGTTTTAACTGTCGCAAATTGAGTATACCTAGCGACGCGTAGCGGAGCTAGGCAAACAGATATTTAGGACAGTAAAATCAAGTTTTACGAAAGCCAAGCTTAAAATACAATACAGTTATCTCCATTCTAAAGCCACATATCAAAATAAATTCCATTTAATAAATACTTTGGCCTAAGCATGCTATAAATAAAAAAAGTCCGCGAAACTGTTGCATCGTCCTAAGCATTTAAACCACGTTGACGTCATATGTATACTCCGGATGTCAAACATAAACACTTCTGAATTGTTTCAATATTGACAAAAAGAAGATTTTGAAGCACAAAATGTCACTTTCTTGTTTATTTTTTGAGAAATTACATACCAAAAAAAGTCGGAATTCAAAATGGCGGTTTCTTAGTTACGGACTGGTAGAACGTGGAATCTAACCCTTCAAAATATTTGTTAACGTCCAATGAAAATTATCGTTACAAACGAATTGCATTAGAACATAGCTTTTCTTGTACATGTAATGTCCCTCTTGTCCTACCATATTCAGGTAGTTATATGTGTTTTAATTTGTTGTGGTGTGAACTTTCCTGTTGAAATTAATAAAAACAAAACGCCCTAGGAGGAAGACACTTCGTTTGGTGTGTTTGTGCTTTTGATTTTGCCATTTGATTAGGGACTTTCCGTTTTGAATTTTCCTCGGAGTTCAGTATTTTTGTGATTTAACTTTTTTCTTAAAGCGTTATTTTCATGTTTTATACCTATTTCTTACGTTTTTTTTATTAATTGTATCTGTGAGTGTATAAATGCTCCATATATAAATTTTGTTCAATATTCAGACGAAGTTCAACGTATTATGAATGCAAACAAATGTCATTCAAACCCAAGTATTCCCCTATCACGCATACTTCGCTTTAACATAGCAACATATATCATTCTCGGGAATAAAACACATACTGCCTATATGATTATGCATAAGGTAATGGATTCGTAAATCTAAATTGCCATTTAGGTTTAACTTGTATCAATTCGGATGAGGTCGTAGAATTAAAATGAAACAACAAGTATTTTTAAATAAAATCCCAACCTGATGAAGTCGTATGCTCGTTGATTGAGGGTTCGGTTGATGTCAGATGACCAGTAAAGTCATTTGTAGACTGTGTTGTGCTTTGTGTTGATGGTATTACCCCAGAAACGCCACACACAATCTTAAGGGTACCATTATGACCAGTTACATGTACTAAAATGAAATATAAGATAGTGAGATCATCCATGTAAAGAACAAAAATATTTGATTAGTGGTTTAAACATTGTCAAAAGTATTAAGATAATAATTGTGTCGACTGTTACAAACCCATTTATTTCATATGCTATCTTTTAAAATACTCGAAACTTTTTGTTTCTTTTTTTTAAACAACAAGCAATATTCATTTAATCAAGATAGCTTTTACCGAAAAATTAACAGTTGTACAGAAAGCGACATTGGTACATTTATTCATGTATATTTTTTTCAGAAGCAGCTTTAATTTTCCTTTTAAGCTGTTATTGCAATATTTGAAGCCAGAAAATCTTTAAATGTGCGTCATTATAAAAATCAGAAGATTTTAGTTCTAGTATATTATTTTATCCGTAACAATGTCTTTCGTTTGTGACATATATAATTAAACGATTAACTGAAAACATTAGTAAATAATACATATATTTTCAACTTTAAACCAAAGCGATTGTGTTGTACTAGATCGAGTGTAAATGCAGACTGTGAACATGCCCTAAATGAACCGTTCAACAGAAAACTGTGTATCAAACGTTTAACCGGACAATTGAATCTGACTTAGCAAACCATACGTGGTAGACTAGTCATTGCTCGTATGCCTGAACACTACATTAGTGATAAGAAGCACCGAACTCCACTTTATTTTAGCGTCTTTCGTTATTCTTGATCGGAAATCAATATCCCCCACAATTGTAAAGTGAATTTTTTAACACACACTTATATGTATTTTAGGACGAAAACAAATCTTTTCAAAATTTGCATTAAGTAAAATTTTCCTTTAAATCGTCAATAGGTGAGGGCTTATCAACATTTTGATATACAAGTCCTTTCAACGTTTTGCAGTTAGCGTAATCTGGTCTTATTAAGCCCAATTAAAAGTTGATTAATCCTAGTATGATAACAAAGTAAAATCTTAATATATCGATACTGATGAAATGTAAACCAACTTATTTTGGTGTAAATCTTAAAACAGTTTTTGAAAGACGTCAACATATACATTTAATTGGAAGCCTTTATATATAATTTAGAAAAATATTAATCCCTCTATAAAAAGGTTACCTCTTTGAACATCGATACAATATCCTCTGGTGAAGCTTCCATCAATTACTGTGAACATAAATCTTAACACACTGTTTTTATAAAACGGAAACGAATTAGAATATTGTCCACTTGAACATTTAATTGAAATCATATCTTGTTGTACTTTTTCCATCTGATAAAAGTCGATGTTCAGTTCCAATCCACATTCTGGTTCTTTTGGTGCTGAACTTTGTAACATTCTATATGGTTCTATATACAGTTGAATATTGTCTAAACTTTGATTTTCAAAAAAGACAAGGCATGTGCAGTTGTCTTCCTGTGTCCTTGAACGAAGTGTAACATGATCAAAGTTAATATTTCCGTCTTTCGCTACACCTATCTGTTCCATTGCCGAACCACTATGGCACATATCAGTTACTACGACGAATAATATAATTTTTTAATCTTTTAATGATAGTTGCGTTCAACAAATGGAATGACTATCTATATACTTATGATATATATACTTTACTGCATCGTTATACTTTTCATCATGTTCATCAGTGTTATGTTAAGCAATTTATTATACTAATACAATCCAATTCAGAGCATGGAATTGGTAACTCTACCGCAATAGTTAATCAAATATGTATTCATTGCTTTATAAATTATGTTACAAATTGTTAATAAAAGTTCTACTAAAAAAAATAAATGGATTTTTTTTAATACATTAATGAGTTTACTTTATTCTTAGATGTACCACTGGTATTTTAAATACGAAATAATCTGTCATATCCTACTCGAAATAACATCTTATTTTCGGAAAGAAAACAATAATTACAAAACAATTATTTATGAATATCGGCATCTTGCTTTTCATGCTGACTTAATCAGCAAGAAAATCAAGTGAGTCAGCTAAGGAGGGTAGATATTCGGGCCTATTAAGTCAGTATAAAAAAATGCCATAATTCGTTTTATCAGCAATTTACTTTTTTAGGGGAGAATATGCTTGTACCGCATTAAACACTTTTTTTGTGTGTACATTTTTACAAAACAAGACGATAGTTGTCCGGTTGTACGCAATATCATCGCAGGCATTTCATTGATACATTAACGATGATCAACGATGATTGACACGGAAAACTTCAAGTTGTCGCATTTTTATTTGACGTCATTGCCTCATATTTTCGAATATCATGTCATGTCAGTGGTTCAAAAAGGCAGTACAATCAAAGGAAATTGTAAAATCGCCGATAAGTTCAAATATGTGTTTGTTTTATTTATAATATGGTGAACGTATTTTCGACGAACAATGTAGATCTGTACATTTACCTTGAGTGCTTGGCTGGATGTCTGGGCAAGGATCTGGTATAATACTCAAACCTGCTGTAAAATTTTAAAAATCAGTGATACGACTCTTAATGAAACAAATAATTGTGAACTATCAGTAGACCTTCTTTTCATTTGTTATTTCAATCTTTAGAAAATATGTGCATACCTATTCCTAGATACAATATATGTCACAATACAAAAAACGATGTTAATATTTAGCTTCCAACAAAAATTAGAAAAAACGTCAACTTAAAAGAGGGACGAAAGATACTAGAGGGACACTCAAACTCATAGACCGAAAACAAACTGACAACGCCATGGCCAAAATTAAAAAGACAAACAGACAAATAATAGTACAGATGACACAACATAGAAAACTAAAGACTAAGCAACACGAACCCCACCAAAAACTGGGGGTGATCTCAGGTGCTCCGGAAGGGTAAGGAGATCCTGCTCCACATGTGGCACCCGTCGTGTTGCTTATGTTATTACAAATCCCGTAAATAGTCTAATTCGGTAAGTCACATTCATGAAAAGGGAAGGGTATTGTAGTTACGACATAAGGAACATATCCGATATCATCTGTTCCATAACGGTCAACCAACACGTGATGGCGTCCGTAAAATTTACGAAGGGATTGATTGATTGATTGTTGGTTGCTTAACGTCCAGTGGATTACGAAGGGATGATTTCAACTTCACCATTTGGAACTCTTGGTTTAATAGCTTCCTTGTGAGCAGCAATCCTCTATCAAGGAAATCATGATAGGAAACACAAGCCCGGGAATATCGTATCAATTGGGAGATATATACTCCGTATGCAGGCGCTGCTGGAAGGTTGCTACATAGAAATGGAAAGTTCACAATTGGAAAGCTGAAATCATCTCTTTTGTCGTAAAGTTTTGTTTTCAACCGACCCTCATTGTCAATTTCTAGATGTAAGTCAAGATATGAGGCAGACTTAACTGTATCTGTAGTATCCTTTATCTCTAGTTCGATGGGATAGATTCGTTCAACATAGTCACCAAATCTGGTATTATTTAGTGAGAGAACATCATCTATATAGCGGAACGTAGAGTTAAAGGATATTGCTAACTTCTTTTCCTTCTTCCTAAGAAGTTCCTGTATGAAGTCGGCCTCATAATAATAAAGAAACAAGTCGGCAAGAAGAGGGGCACAATTGGTTCCCTTTGGAATTCCGACAGTCTGTTGAAAAACACGTCCTCCAAACGTAACAAATATGTTGTCAATCAAGAAATCAAGCATCTTGATAATGTCAGCTTCAGAGAATTTTTTGTTTGAATCAGAGTGATTCTTTACAAAGTAGGATTTATCCCTTCCCAAGACAAGATACTTGTATCTACGTTCGCCATTCTTTTTAATGAAACAAAGTAATACCAACTCTTTCAATTTATCTTCTAGTTTGGAATGGGGAATACTTGTGTAAAGTGTAGAAAAGTCAAATGTTTTAATACTATTGCAAGATGAGAGAGTCTTAGATTGTATGTACTCTTAAAGATCTTTGGATTTTTTTTAGTATCCACATCTGATTCACGCCATCTCTAGAATAGGCAATTTCACAATATCTTTGGTGCCCGGCTTAAAGCTGCGAGGATTATAACAGGATTGGCAATCTTTACTAATACCGAATATCTATATTTAGATACTGGCTTGGAACCCAAATAAAATATTTATAAATCAAAGAAGAAAGTCATCGTATGACCTTCGGTGATGAGAAAAACCTATACCGAATACTATGATATTGACTATCCGAAGACAACCAAATGTGAAAAAAATCTGACGGCATATATTAAGTTCAAAACAGAAAACAATAACAATTATGACAGTCGGTAACCAACGACAAGCAGTTCACTACAGACAAATCAATGACATTATAAGTACTGGCCAATTGCAGTAGTAAATTAAGCACTGTACATTCAGTGTATTGCTATTTGCCCTAGACGGTAAACTAACTTCTTTTATTGTTTTTGTCCTTTCTGATGGGTTTGGTTTTTTTTTTTTTCGTTTTTTGTACTTTTTTCAATCCTGATTCAGTAAACACTTTTTTTGGTATGGAATATAGTAGTTTCACTGTAACTCACTTCAAATTCGCACGTTTTTTATTTCTGCGGCACTCTTCGATCTATATTGACCAATTCTAAGGTTCTATTTAAAACTTACAAATGCAATGCGCATGCATTTAATCTAGTTCATAATGCTTGAAAAAAAATTAATCCGATCGATTGTTTTAATTTGTTTTAATGTGGATCAATGGAATATATTCCCTCAGATAGAACTTTCTTAAACTGTTCAAATTGTAGATTTAACCATATTTATTTGAAAAAAATAATAAACAGTATGGGTCACCGTGCTGTTTTTTAAGCTACAATTCGTGCAGAATTGCCTGATTTTGCATAGATTTTTCATAAAATTAACATTTTTTGGTGTAATGAAATAGATCAATGAGATATAATTTTGAAATAAAATACGAAAAGATAGGTTTCATAATATGCTTTAAAAATATAAAAGAAAAAAAGTGGGTCACCGAAATTGAAAATTTCATTAACATTCCTTTACAAAAAAAAACTTTTAGTACATCAGTTTGAATCTGCAATAAAATTCTTAATTTTCTCTATTCAAATCAACAGTGTAACTCATCAGTTGCCAATCTTTCTCAAAATTTGCAGATTTGATATATATTTAGCAAAGGAATCAGTGGCGGATCCAGGAGGTGTTTCGGGAGTTGGAACCCCTTCACCTTTTTTTTCTTTGACAACTAATGTACACAACAGAAAAAAGGATACACATGTAGAATATTTGATTCAATATGATAAGATAAGATATGGCGTTGTTTTTAGTAAATAATCAAGAGGATTTTTTCTGGAACAAATATATGTTGTAATTGTTATTATATCAAAAATTAGGTAAAGAGGACTAGTCTCTATCAACGACAAGTGAAAGTCACTCCTTGGTCATGTTGTAACACAGATATTCCAAAACAATAAACTAAATCATTAAAGCATACTTTTACTTTCTGAGGTCAGTGTCATTAAGCATATACTAGACGGACATTCGCTCCTAATAATCAATGTTTCAAAGTATATTTGTTCTTCTTAATATATAATCGTTCCTCTGGAAACTTCTATAAACAATGATATAATGTAATATCTGCTCATGTTTGAACAAATATTCTATATACTTTATTTCGTAAGTAGTATTTTCCTCCGTGGACATAACAGTCTAAAATATTTTTCCATTGGAAACTAATTATATTTAAACGGAGCTTCTGATTCATGACAAATGGATACTGAGAATTATGACTTTGGGTATAGAAATAAAGAGATGTGGTGTGGTTGCCAATAAAATGAACCCAAGGCGTTATGCAATACAAATTTTGTATGTTAAATTTAGATTCAATCAGTTGTTTTGTATAATCTGTGATACAAAGGAAATACCGCCAGTAGTTATGCTTAAAATATGATATCAAACAAAGGGAGGTCCTGGGATCATAGGGGCAATCAACATACATTATAAAATCAGACAATTGTATCATGGGGAAAAAGAACTTCAATAAAAAGTAAAACAAAATTAAAAACTAAAGGTAAGAGAACACTTTCAAAAAATAGGAATAAAACGTAAATTGTCCGGAAGAGTATTTAAGCGGTCTATATCAGTCATCGATTAAACGGGTAGTTCAAATACAAATGAAGACAGACACATGAACAAATGTGCGAATAGACTGTAATGTTACTTTTAAATCCCCTGAAATAACGGTGCGTATTTTAAGTCTGAAACATCCAGAAATGCTAGCTAGATTTGGGCGCCAATAACCCACATATGGCACATATGGCACACGAAATATATCTATAAATATATCCAGAAGTTACGATGATCTGAATTGTAAATCAACAAATTTCGTCTACGGATTAGAGTGAAACCTTTGCGGATTGGTATACGTCGGTGAAACGAAAGGAAGGCTAAATAAACGTATGTGCCGCCATAGATCAGACATCAACCACAGTGCAAGCGACATTTTTTACCAGCATTTAAACCAGCCTGATCATTCAATCCTTTCTATGCAAGTTCGCATCATCGAAAAAAATATACCACAGGACTAACAATCCTCATCTTGCAACACCTCTCCGTAGACAAAAAGAAGACTACTGGATTCGACAATTGCAAACTGTGACAGCATATGGTTGCAATGACAAATTTGATGGTATAGGTATTCTATCTAGTCCTTCCTGTAGCTCGGTGAATGTGATGAACATTTTCAACTCTACTCCTCGACGTAGACGCAGTCATGATCATCGTCATTATACACCACCTACTCTCAATGATTTTTCTATCAATGACCTGCTGCCATTTATACAAAAGCCGTTAGCTATTCATCACATTCGCACGAAGCTTTATTCATTACCCCTTTCAAAACTTCATTCACTGTACAACTTATGTTTGGAAACCACTAATACTAACCCTTTTACAAACCAATACAAACTTACAGCTATCATTTCGGATATTGCAAGTCATAGACTTTTCAAACCAGTTCGCATTGGAAAAGATGAAAAGGAGAAAAGATCCTTTCTTAAACTTTCTCGATGCCATCAACTTGGACAATATCCTTCATCATAAATCAGTTCAATCGAAAATACCCCCCTATTTTAAAGATCAGTCTGTACCTATCATTTCTTATACCTATACCAAACCAATTGCAACTAAAATTTTCAATTACAAACACGTGTTGCAGGATCTCAATATTGCCGACTTCAAGTCTAAACCTCCTGATTGCAACTGTGCTAGTTCTCCATTCATATATAATCCGGCTGGCCATGTTATTACCGGTGACATAAACATTGTCAAAAACACTTCTCTGCGAAATGTGATATCCAAAAGCCCGAAATATCGTGAGCCTTAATCCATCAATTGGAAACACAACTTCAAAATACTGATGGATTCAGTCGAGGATCATGCCAGGCAATGCGTTAAACGCGAGAAAGAAGACGTAGATACCCTTTCCGAATGGATTAATGCTGTGAGGTCGTTGATACAAATCAGAATTAAGAAACTGAATGGGTCTATTAATACCCATGCTACATCAATCTTTAAAGACCCAAATGTTGCAAAACGCTTGTTCTACCTCCATGAGAAATATGTTATTGTCCCCGCAAATAAAGCTTCAAACAACATCTTTTTTGTGTGTAAATTACATTACATAAACAGCTTGATAAATTAATTGGGTATTGACAATTCACTTGGAAACTCAACATATACCCCCACGACACTTACTAAAGAGGAAA